CTTGCGGGGCTGTGTCATTCAGATCCTGACCGGGGAGGACTGGAACTCGGTGATGCATGATGGCATCATGGCTTATGGCGGCCCCTCTTTTCCAGGGATGCTAGTCTGTATTTACTTCATCATCCTCTTCATCTGTGGGAACTGTATCCTTTGCTCCTGCCCCTGACCCCGACCCTCACCTGCCCTTCGATGCCAGGGCGCCCAGCAGGGCTGACCGCGGGGCCGCAGGGAGAGGCAGGCTGGCAGCACGAGCCAGCCAGACCTCCTGAGCCGTGCGGGCGGCTCTGGGTGGGGGGCCCGGCGCCTGGGCCTGGGGCTGCGGATACGAGTGTATCCCCAGCCGACGCCAAGCAAGCAGCGCCCCCTGGTGTTGTGCTGGGCAGCCACTCCCTGGGACTCGGACGTCAGGCCCCCGCTGCCCTGGCCCAGTGCCCCTGTGGAGGGAGGACAGGGTCTCGGCCCCTAAAGTGACCTTCACTTCTCGCCCTGCTCTCTGGCCAGTGTCCCCGCACTCTGAAGCCACTCTGCCGGACGCTGGTCACAGGCAGGATTGCACAGGCCACGGGCAGGTTTCTGGTCCCAGGCCGCAGGCACCCTTCTCCCCACCCTACCGCCTGAGGCTGCGTGCAGGGCCGTCTAAAGTAAGATCCCAGAAGCCTGGACACGGGTGCCAGCGAGCGGCCTCAGGCCAGCCCAAGGCTGTCCACCTCGGTGTCCAGGAAGCAGGGTGCAGATAGCAGTGCCTCCGACCTGACGGGTCAGGTGAGGCTTAACCGGGCAGCCCACGCCAAGCCCAGCCCTTGTGGGCCGAGGGGGAGGCGTCCGGGAGCCTCCTGGGACAAGACTCTGGCCTCCCGGTGGAAAATGGTGCCGCCCGGGGCCTGGGAGGAGGGGGCGCCTGACAAGCGTTCACCTCTCAGCTGGACCGTCTCTGGCTCGGTTCTCTGACCCGCAGAGAGGAAACTCTGACTGGGGCTGGCTGGGCCCCCGGGGACCTCTGTCTGAGGGGCTCGCAGCAGGAGTGGGCAGGGCCCGCAGCCACCCCCTCAGCAGGTGCAGCCCCCGCCCTCAGCTGGGTCCGCGGGAGGCAGCGCTGCTTACGGTGTCGGCCACGGCCAGCCGTGTCTGCGGGAGGCAGTAACAAAAGCCGGCACTTAGACGGCGAGGCCTGGCTGCCTGCCTCCCTCTTCGGCTCCAGCCTGTGCTCAAGCCCAAGGAACCCTGGGGACTCTAGTGAAGTGGGGGGGAGGGAAGGGGGCTCTGAGCCCCTCGGGGGAGCCCCAGCCCTGCACGTCTGCACCCTCCTGCCCCCTGTGCCCACAGAAAACCCCAAGGCCAAGGGTCATTTTCTTTAAGAATGGACACAAACAGATATCCTACTGAACGTGTTCTTGGCCATTGCTGTGGACAACCTGGCAGATGCCGAGAGCCTCACCTCTGCCCAGAAGGAGGAGGAAGAAGAGAAGGAGAGGAAGAAGCTGGCCAGGTAACCCCCGAGCCTCCCCGGCCCCGGCCTGGGTCTGGAATGCCGCTCCCGTGGGTGCTGAGGAGAGGCCGTCGCTCCTGGAAGGGGGCTGCACGGGGGCTCCCTGGAGCAAGCGGGGCCTCTCCCTGTCCCCAGGCGTTGCTCTAAGCGGGGGCCGTTGTGAATCACAGTCTCTGGGAAGGTGCTGTGTTTCCCCACCTGTCCGGGAAGTTGGGGACTCTGTTCTGAGAAGACAGGCCATGACCTGTGGGGGGAGTAAAGGATGGAGGGGGAAGCGGCCACTCAGAGGAGAAACACAGTTCCAGCGGAAAGAGTGGGTCCTCCTCACTACTCTGTTCCTCGTCCCCGGGGTGGAGAAGACAAGCCAGGGCCCCACACTGTCTCCATCACTGTCCTGGGCCACGCACCTGCTGGGCACTGAGCAGAGTTCTCCAGGAACTTTCTGGCGAGGCCAGAGCCAGGCGAGGCCCAGTGGCGTTTGTGACAGAGCTGCACGGGCCCTGCAAGTCAGGTGGACACAGGCCCAGGCAGCCGGCCCCCAGCAGACCCCAGGGCGGGTCCCCGGCCCTCCAGCCAACACCCCTTTCTGCTTTCTCCCGCTGACGGGCCAGGACTGCCAGCCCAGAGAAGAAACAAGAGATGGTGGAGAAGCCGGCGGTGGAGGAGACCAAGGAGGAAAAAATTGAGCTGAAATCCGTCACAGCCGCCGGAGAGTCCCCGCCGGCCACCAAGGTGAGGGCGCCTCCAGGGGCTGGGCCGCTGCCGCGCCCGTGGAGATTGGGGGGGAGCTCGGTGGGTGCGGCGGGGAGGGCGGACGGCAAAGCCGGGGGCGCGGGGAGGAGGAGGCGGCCAGCTTCCCGTGGGCTCCAGAGGGCCGAGTGCAGAGCAACGCAGGCGTGCTTCTGCGTCAGCAGCCCGGCTGGGACGGGAGCGGGGCTGCGAGGGCTGCGAGGCCCCTCTGAGGCCCTAAAACCGTGGGCCCTGCCTAACTGGGCGCTGCTTCTCTCCCTTGACCGCCTAGATCAACATGGATGACCTCCAGCCCAACGAAAGTGAGGACAAGTCTTCCTACCCCCGCCCGGAAGCGACAGGTAGCAGCCCCACTGCCCCGCCTGGAGAGGGGACGGGGTGGAGGGGGGAGACCCGCTCTCAAGCCGCACGCTGGCTCCAGGCGTGCCGCCTCCGTGCGCCCCGCCCGCTGCCAGCAGGGGCAGAACTCTCCTGGTTTCCTGGTAATAATAGCGGAAGACTGAGTAAACCGTGTCTGAGCAGCGCCTTTGAGGCTTCGGGATCTGGGTCGCTTAGACGTGAAGGTGTGACCACAGCCCGTGTTGGAAAAGCACCATTCGGTCGCAGAACTTACTTGCGGAACGTGCGCTGCGGCATCCTGCTCACTTGCGGTCGTGGTAAACCCCGACTCTGTCCTGCCCTCACCAGGAGGTGCTCTGAGCACACGCACGGCCGTCAGCACCGCCGTCCCCTCGGGCCCGCTCCGTGGGATGCTCTCAGGCCTCTCACGTAGAAAGAGCTCCTCCCGCCCGACTCAGCGTCCGGCCGCCGTCTGACCCGTGACTCAGCCGGCGGGCCTCCTGGAGAGGGTTTCATGTCAGCAGCCTGTCGGCCTCCCTCAGGCTTGCTTCCCGAGTAGGAACCCGCACCCTGTGTGAGCCCTGGCTGCCTTCGCTTTCCCTAGAGTTGCAGGTGTTGTCGCCGGCTTCGAGCTCGAAGTCACCCCCCACCGCCAAGGCCCTGCTGGTCTTGCCGACCCCCTCGGTGCAGGCTGGGCTGCGCTGGTCATAACCTCGTGTCGGGCGGTTGGAAGCTTCCGCACTCACGCCCAAGCCTGAGCCTCTCGCCCGCCCAGTTCCCTCTGCGGGGGAGGGGAGGGGGCTTCCTGGGGCTCAGAGGGGCGGGACGGAGGGAAGACCCGGAGGGTGTCCGTGTGCCAGGCAGAAAGCCCTTCTGGGCGGAAACTACTGCAGAGTTTCCAGGACACACCAGAAGCATCGACCAAAGGCAGCGGGATGGTCTTTCTCGATCCTGAAGGAACAGACCTCACAGTGACGTTTTCACGTCGCGAGGGAAAGCTGAATATGGCCGGGATCCAACCAATTTCAAGTTTCTGCTGATCGTGTTGGGACGATACTGTTGTTATTGTAGTTCTGCTTTATAAACACTGACACATTCACAGCTGGAGTCTAAGACGTTTAGAAGTCGCTCTAAAATGTTCCAGCAACGAAGAATGGAGGCAGAGACGGTATCGTGAAACGAGATGGGCAAGTTGTCAGTGGGTGTTGAGGCTGGTGTAGACGTTCTCGTCAAGTCTCTCTCCTCGTGTGTGTCTTTAGAGTTTAAACAGGAAGACAGCAAGAGGGACTGCGCGACGCGGAGGGACCACCGGAGGTTCTCAGCCCACGTCCGACCTCCCTTGTGAAAGACGCGCTCTGGCTGCTGCGTGGGGCGGGAGGATTAGAACCAGGATGGGGAGGACCGTGGTGCAGCTGGCCAGGCGGGGCAATGGCAGCGTGGGTGGGGGGCCCGCTGAGACGCGGAGGGGCCACCTGCGAGCATCCAGAGGCCGGGCCAGCCGGACGGAGAGGTGGGAGAGAGAAGGGAGTGGCCTGAAAAAGAAGACACCCAGGGCAGGAAGTGCGTCCCCGGCCTGGCCCTCGGTGTTGGCCTTTTAGGGCTGCTGGACTCAGGCCGCACGGAGAGCTGGACTCTCCTTGAGGGCGAGGCTGTGGCTTCATAGGCCCTAGGAGTCAGAGCAGCCTGAGCAGAGCCCCAGCAGTGAGAACGGGCACCCAGTGGGGAGGGGCAGGGCCGCGAGGGCCAAGGGTGGGCACCGAGTCACGCCTCTGTCTCCGCTGAGTCTGCAGCCACCATCTGGACGTGGCAGGACCCGGCTCACCGCGCTTCTCAAAGCTCCAGGCACGGCGTTGACAAGACAAAGAGCGCCATGAGCCTCCGCTGGCACCTGGGCGTCCGCACGGTCAGCTGCCCCCCTGGAAGGAGCTCTGCCTGACTCCCCGATCCCGCACCTCCCTCCTCACACCTGGGGCCTGCGAAGCATCACTCGCTGTCCACCTTCTGTCCCTTTACAAGTTTGGGTTCGTCCTTCAGAGGTAGTTTCCACTTACACGCGGTGCTAGAAACCTGACTGCTGTGCACTGGACGGACGCTGACCCCCTCTCCCCGAGAACCAAGCCAGCCCAGCCCTCCCAGCTGCGCGGCAGGACCAGCGCATGCACGATTCATCCAGAGATGCTCAGACCAGCAGGGAGCTGCCAGCGTGTTCTTCCGTAAACACAGATGGTGGAAATAGCGTTCAATGACCTGTCCTCAAATGTCCACGAGTAAGAAAGTGTCGGGTCATTACAGCAAACTGGAAGAGGACAAAGGTCCAGGCGGGGACCTGAGCCCCTCCAGCCCGATTCTGCGAGTCAGCGCCGTGATTTCGCCCACTCCGGTCCTACCGGCTTTGCTTTAATAGGAGGCCTCGCCAGGGCTGGTTAGCAAGCTTCAGCCCTTGGCCTGGACGCAGCCCTCACCGCGTGCCACTCTGCAGCTGAATATTAATTGCCTCGCCGGTCAGCTCCCCTCGAGGGAGGGGATCCGTGCCTGTGGTCTGCCCGTCCTCCAAAAGGCCCCGGGTCCCTAGACACCTCCTGCTGGATAAAGAGCTACTCTCTGTGCCAGGCGGGTTTTCGTAGTAACCAGGAGAGGGGCGCCCAGAGGCAGGGCCAGTCCGCAAGGTGGGCTTCCCAGAGCCACCTCCCAGCCAGCTCGGTCTCCATCTGAGCTCCTGCGGGGCCCCTTCCTGTGCAGTGAGCGTCGCTGTGGAGGGGAGTCGTCACCAGGAGGTCACTCCCGTGTGCCCGGCGTGGCTTCTGTCTGCAGGGCTCTCAGCACGTGAAGAGCTGGAACAGGTACACGTCAGGCCAGGCGTCTGAGCCGCCTTGTCCCAAGGGCCAGGTGAAGGCGGAAGGCCGGCGGGGTTCACGGGAAGGCGGCTTCTGGGCGCAGGGACTCAGGAGAGCCAGGGGAGGGTGCTGTCTTGGGGGTGCCCGCGGCTCTGGGGAGACCGTCCTGCAGGGAGAGGGCGGAGCCAGGGCCGCCTTAACCATCCCGCGGTGGGGGCGGGTTCTGAACAACAGGAATCTGTCCTCTCGCTGTTCTGGAGCCTGGAAGCCAGACGTCAGGGTGTTGGCAGGACCACACTCCCGCCAACGGCTCAGGAGTCACCCCTCACGCTGCCGTCAGTGCAGCCCTTGGGGCCCCGGCTGTCGCTGCCCCCACCCCTGTCTCTGCCTCCCCTTCTGCCCCGTGTGTGTCTCCGCGTAAGGTCAACAGGCCTTGAAACTAGGGCCCCCCACCCCGGTCCCAGATGACAGCATCACAGGTCACATCTGCGAAGACGCTGTTTCCAAAATAAGGTCACGCTCTGCGGATCCGCATGCACGTGAACTTGGGGGGGACGCTATCCACCCATGTCAGTGGGCGTTCAGAGAGACCTTGGGCAAAGTGGAAAGTCTGTTGGGGATTAACAGGCAGAGACCGACTGAGGGAGAAGCTAAGCCTAGCTCACAGGCTAGGAGCAGCTCGCGTGGACGGAGACAGACAGCACCATCCTGAGGAATATACGTGCCGTGACCCCATCTTACAGGCAGGGAGACTGAGGCTCAGAGGGACTAAATCAATGCCCGTGGCCAGAAAGAAACAGAGCCGAGATGGGATCCAGGCGTTGGCTGGGGAGTCCATGCTCTTAACTTCCATCCCCTTCTAAACATTCGACCAGAACAGGATATTCGGGGCACGAGCCGTTTGCCTGTGGTCCACGTTCGGTGTGGCCACCAGCCCAGGGAGCAAAGTGCTTCTGTGACTGGTGTCGGCGCCTAGACCTTCGGACGAAGAGCCTGTGACAGCAGCATTACTGTCCCCGCAGCACAGCATCCTTTTGTGTTTTCAGGACTAGGGAGAGTGTCGATTTTAAGCTCCTGGAATCTTCAAGGCTGGGGTTGCTTGTCAGGAGCAGGTCAAGCAAGCCATGCCCCTTCCCCTGCCTGAAGCCTAGACGGACGAGGACACCTGGCAATGTCCCAGTCTCACGTGGCCACCTTGTCTAGTGCCTGATGCTGGGGTCACCAGCCATCCCAATTTATGGGGGGGCGAGGGGTTTCCTGCGGTGCGGGAATTTCAGCTTAAAACCAGGCCAGGCTGGGCAAACCAGGATGAGGTGTCCCCTAGCTCACAGCCTGCCTCGTGTCTGCCAGGGGAGTCAGCCTCCAGCAGACATGAGCCCCCACCAGGCCCCCAGGGAGAGAGCTGGGGTCCTGCTGGGCCCTCTTCATCCCCCGAGACACAGAAGCTATCTGATTCCTGCCCGTCGGAAGGGGTCTGCAAGTAGGCAGCACGGAGGTAAAAATAAGTGTCGAGGACGGGCTTTCTTCTCGCAGGAGAGGAGGACGAGGAAGAGCCGGAGATGCCGGTGGGCCCGCGCCCGCGCCCTCTCTCTGAGCTGCACCTGAAGGAGAAGGCCGTGCCCATGCCAGAAGCCAGCGCTTTCTTCATCTTCAGCGCCAACAACAGGTGAGTAGCTGGCGGGACAAGCCCGGCGCCCTCCAGCCCATGGGTGGGGCCCCCCACCTTGTGTAAACAGATGCTGATTTAGGGGAAAGGCCTGGGTTCCGAATCAGAGGACCTGTGTTTGTCTTTCTTCTCCATCTTTTGAAATGTGTGGACTCTGTCTCTGGCCTGTTGGTTACATTTGATGTAACAAAAGCTGAGATTGAACAGAGTCATCAGCCTTCTCCTGCAAAATGGAAGGAGTTAAAACAGCCAGGTGAATTTAGCTCCTCCCAGCCTCCCGCCCTGCGTGTTGCGGTGGGTGAACACTTTAGCCCTGGCCTTTGCTTCTAACCCAGAAAGCTAGCGTGATCGGCATCATTATGCAGGCAGGTGTGTTTGAATTTGCATGCCACTTGCCTTTTTGTTGGTTCACCATTTTTCATGCGTCGCAGTCCATCCTTCTGTAATCGGTTTCTTTCCTTCTAAAGTGCACTCTAGGGGGAGGGTGTCGCTCAGGGGCAGAGCACGCGCCTAGTGTGCGTGAGGTCCTGGGTTCCACCCCCGGCACTTCCACTAAACACACACATAAATTTCTAGACTCTAATTACCTCCCCAGACAAAAAACAAAACAAAACAGAAGGAAGTTCCTTTGTGGTAAATTCACTCGGCCTCTGTCGACCTGTCGCTGTTTCCATTTCCTGTCGAAAGACAGGCTTGCTGTGCGTGCTTTCGGGCTGACGGGCTTGGCCCTCAGCGCGCTGGGGGTCTTACCCCACGGTGACGTCGGGGTTCCTGCTGTCCCTCCTTACGAGGCACCTGCCCCTTGTCTCCAGGAGCTTTCGCCATCGCCCACGGGCCCCGGTGCCAGACGCGTTTACTGCCGCGAGTCTGGACGTAGACTTCCTTCCGTTTTTCTGCTTAGAACGTGTCAGGCTTCCTGAGCCTGTGGGTTTATACTTTTGTCACGTTTGAGCGACACTACAGGTTAGATTAACAACCACGAGTTCTCGGAAGGCTGCAGCTGCCGTGCCTGTCCGTGCTGCCTGGTCGTCTTTCCCACCGCCTGGCGCCCTGCCCGCCAAGCAGACGTGGGTTGGACCCCGTTCTGCGCCCCCACCTCACACACTCGCGTCTCCGAGCCTTCCACCTCCTAGTCCCTCTGTCGGAAGTCTGGGCATTTCTCCGGGTCTGTCTTCCGGTTTCCCAGTTCTCTCTTCAGCTCCATCTATGTTGCTGTGTGAACCAGTTTTTAGATCAACTTACGTGTTTTCATTTCAGACAGTTCCATCTGCTGCTTGGTTTTTCCAGATCTGTCTGCCACGTCCGAGTTTCTGGCTGTCCGTCACCTTCGTGATCAAGTCCCCCATTCCGTTAACTGTCTCAAGCACAGCTGTCCTGTGGCTTGATACTTCCAGTGTCTGCCGTCTTGGGGGGCCTCAGTCACTTATCTGTAGTGTCTTCTGCTTCCCCGCCTCAGTGGCTTATCTTGTTGGGTGTTCAGTGATTTTGGCTGTGACCTCAGCACGTCATCATGATGGGCGAGTTCCCGTGACGGGGAGCTTTCTTCCCGACGCTCCTTGAGGGAGCCGGCTCAGCCCGGCAGTCCTGGGCGCCTCTGCTTCGAAGTGCCGTTTCCTGACGGCAGTGCTGCCCCTGGCCTCTGTCCTCAGGCCCCTCTGATGTCCAGCTGCCTGTCACACAGGCGCCAGCTCGGTGGATTGGCTTGTTGGCTTCTCTGTTTGTTTCTTTGAAGGGGAATCAGCGTAGACCTTCCCCAACTCTGATGGAACCAGGATTGTCTCAAAGAGAAAATTCCTTTCCAGGACTTGGTGCTTCTGCATCAGTAAGGTCCCTCAGAGCATTAGTCACCCACACGTCAGGGGCAGGGATCTGAAGGCCTGGGTTCAAGCCCCGACCCCGCCTCTGCCAACACACACACGCGCACTCTGCAGCCTGTGTGTCTGGGCCAGTCTCTCCTTCCTGGTTCCAGCGGTTTTGTCTGTAAAGAAGGTGACAAGCACACCCGCCTCCCTTTCTACTATCAAGACGAGACCGTGTGTGAGATGCCCTTGGATTCCAGGGTCTACCTGTGAGAGCCCAGGGGTCAGCTGTGTCACTCTTTGTAACTGTGCTGAGGTGTGGGGTTGAATTTCTGCTACAGGCAAACCTCCTCGGAGTCTGGTCTAACCAGTCCGGCGGCCTCCACGTCTCTGGGTGGCCCTGTCATTCCCTGTACTTAAAATACGCTTTGTACCGATCACTTTCCATGATGGGGCAGGGAAGTCCCGAAGCGAAAGCCAGCCGAGGAGGTCACAGCCGTATCTCAAGGTGCAGAGACTCCCAGCGTGCCGGCCGCGCACTGCCTGTGGGGCCGTAGGACCACGAAGCCGGGCAGGTGGGCGCTCAGCGGGCAGCTGTGTCTGCGGTTGTGTGGTGGTGGCCCTGCCGCAGGGCTGCCCCATGGAGAGGGAGAGGGGCTCGCAGCCAGAGCCCCTGCCCCTCCGCCGGTGACCAGCCCCTCGCCCGCAGGTTCCGCCTTCAGTGCCACCGCATCGTCAACGACTCCATCTTCACCAACCTGATCCTCTTCTTCATCCTGCTCAGCAGCGTCTCCCTGGCCGCCGAGGACCCGGTGCAGCACACCTCCTTCAGGAACCATGTACGCTCCCCCAGCCTGCACCCCACCAGCCCCGAACCTGACCCCACAGCTCTGGGGCTGGCGGGCCTCCCTGCTCAGTCCAGAGACCATGCCAGACGTCTAAGAGACGAGGGCTTTGACAGAAACCCTTCTCAGGACCATTAGCAAGTACGAGAGTGGACCCAGGGCCCGAGGCCGGGAGGTCAGGACCTCCACCGCCCGGGGCGGTCCGCCCGGGGCTCTACGTCCCCAGAACTCAGAGGTTTACACCTGGCCCCGTCACTGGGGGAGCACAGGCGGATGGGACCGACTTCACACGGGAGAGCTCAGTGACTCTCCACAAAGTAAAAACTCAGTTTGGAGACCCAGCCCTGGCTCTGGTGACCTACGTCAAAGGCCAGAATAAGTTCTGTATCGCAAAATCTCGAAATTGTGTCATTCCCAACAAGGAGGGTGTGAGGTGAGGAGCCCCCAGACCCCTGCCCAGCCAGCAGGTGGTCCTGCAAACTGCCCGGCCAGAGCTTTCCTGCTGAGAAAGGCGCTGGCCCACGCTGATCCACCACCTGAGACAGAGCAGAGCAGGAACCCTGGAGCCCGGCCCAGCCCGGGGCGCCCCCTCCCCGCCCGAAGGCCCACCACCAGTGTAGGTCCCACCCACGCCAGCGGCTGGCTGAGTCACCCCAGTGTGAGTTAAGCACTTTGCATCTTCACACACACACACACAAAAAGAAAAAAAGCAAGCCCCATTCTGTCCTGCTGACAAGCACCCATGGATCTGATCTGGGTCTGTAAGTAAACCGAGTTAAGGAGCAAGGCTGCCGACCAGACCCAGGGCCAGCCAAGTGGGCCCGGGAGCTCCCCGGACAGGTCTGGGGGCCTCAGCATGCAGCGTTTGTAGCCGCCTCTGGCCCTGACCCCGTTCCCACCCCGACCGACTCCACGGGGAAAGTGCCCCCGCGAGGCGCTGGGGCGTGGGCTGTGAACCCCGCTGACCTGCCCTCCCTCCCGCCGTGCTGCTCCCCCAGCCCCGCCCAGCCCCGCCCGTCTCTCTTTGTTTTACAGATTCTGTTTTATTTTGACATTGTTTTCACTACCATTTTCACCATTGAAATTGCTCTGAAGGTAAAGCCTGCGGGCCCTCCTGTGCTGCCGGCCCCTCTCTCTCCTGTGGCTGGTCCCTCTGTCGCTAACGCACACGCCTCTGCTGTGTCTGGTCACCGCGCTCTAACCCGGTTCTGCTTTTCTTTCAGATCCTAGGCAATGCAGACTATGTCTTCACTAGTATCTTTACGTTAGAAATTATCCTCAAGGTAACGCACTTAGCAAAGCGCTCTGCCTCCTCTCGCTTCTCTGGTTTCTTTCACTCGCGTTTTTACTCTCAAACCTGGAATTGGAAGAATTGGTGCCCTCACGCTGTGTCCTGCGCTTTGCTCGGGCTCAGAAGCCAGAAGCTCCCCCCACCTCCGCATCCCACCCCGTCCCAGATCCTGCTCTCGGCCGGGGCGGTGTGGACCCTGATGCCGGCCTGGCACCGGGCACCAAGCGCCGCCACCTCCCCCACCTCTTCCGGGAACTGACTGACCCGCTAGACCCCCTGCCCTCCTCCTGCCGGAGGAAGTGCCACACAAGCCCCAGAAGTGGGGAAGCTCAGGGGCACGAAAGGACCACCCGCCTGTCCCCCGGGGATGCCCGTCATCCACACCTTCTGGGCGCGCGGGCTGAGCCGGACTGGGCAGGTGTGACAGTGACCTTGGGCCTAACGCCAGCCTCCCAGCCAAGGGCTTTGGAAGGACCACTGAGCCCTGGGTTACCTGCCGAAGGCTTGGCTGCCAGGCACTGGCCTGGCCCGGAGGGGAGGCAGGGCCTCAAGCCCCCAGGCCCGCCCGCCTGCCACCCACTTAGGGAGTGGGCAGCCCGGCTGCAGACCTGCTCCGGCCCCGTCACCCCAGCACAGCAGACCCCCTCTGAGCAGCTTGGGGGTGAGGGGGGCCTTTCTTCAGCCTGGCTGTGTTATTTCTGCTATTTCTGTGAATGTACAATATCTCACTTTGAATTACTCTGTTATGATTTCTAAGTTCCCCAGCCCACCCTCAGGTTGGGAGAGTGTGGGACCACTGTCCCCTTTCAGAGCCTGGGGGGGGTCACCCTGACCCCAGCCGGGGGCTGCAGGCTCTGCTGCAGGTGCCCCCCATCCATGTCCGCATCCCCTCCCCCTGCTGGTGCACACCCAGGCCTTCCTCTCCCGGGCCTGAGCCATGCCCAGCCCTGCAGGCGAGGATAGCCTGTCACGGCCAGATACAACCTGAGTGGACACGTCTGTGTGTCCACTTTTTCCTTTGTCCAGACCCCCTGGTTCCAGCAAACCAGGTGTGAACCAAGAGTAAACTGGGAGGGCTTCTCGGCTTTCTCCCCAACTCCGGGCAGATGGGTCTGACCCCCCGACTCACTCCCGGGGCTGCGTGGACACCCTTCCCGACCTCAGACGCAGGAAGCTCACTCACCCAAAACCCCGCCCGGCTCTTAGACTCCCCAGAGCTCCGAGTGTCTCCACAAGTCCCGCCCTGGCGAGACCCTCGTGCCCTCCCTCCCTCCCTCGTCACCCGCTTCACTGACTGTGCTTCTAAGGAGAGCCCAGCCCCGGGGGCCCCTGCACCTCCTCCCTCCAGGTCCCAACTCCTGCCACGGCGGGTGACCGGGTCCAGGGGGCGCTGGGGGGCAGGGACAGCCGAGAGACCTGGGCATGTTTTGCTGTCAGAGGAAAGGCTTGTGGGGCCACGGCGGTTGTCCTGAACGGTGCCAGGGGCTGTGTCCCATGGAGGTCGGAGCAGTGGGGCCAGGACCCAGGAGTAGAAATTACAGAAGATAAGACACATTTAGTGAGCAGAAGTGCCTCCTGGAGAGATGGTGGCTGGATGGAGGGGATTCCTGCCCTGCCCACTCCTTCTCCCTCCCAGTGAGGCTTTCCCCGGGCAAAGGTTAGAACTTTAGGAGCAGGAAGAGGGGTGGCATCCAGCAGACAGGGTGCAAGGGGCACTGCACTGGGTCCCTGAGCCCAGCCTCTGCTGACGGCCTGGATGCCACAGGTAACTTTCCAATAAACGCCCCGTCTTCCCAGGGTCCACTTGCCGTCTGTCCTATAGCCAGTCTTCTGTGGCCCTGCCTGGGCAGGCGCCCCTACACACACACACACGCACCACGCACAGACACACACACACACACACACTCAGGACTGTTGACCCATAAGTCAGAGGGCGGGTGGGCCTCTCTGAGCCCCGCTGAGCCGCTGTCCCAGGACACTTTCCCTCTGCGGACGGCCCTGCTGGAGATCAGTGTCCTCACCGTGCCCACACGAGCCGCGTTGGGGCACCAGGCCCAGCGCTCCTCTAAGTCTGAGTGCTGGGTGGTGGGCAGGCGCAGCCTTCAGGTTAACGCGAACTGTGGGGCCTCCCAGGTCCACTCACTGAGACACAGGGCAGCGGCCCTCCAGATGGCAGGCCTTCGGAAGAGCTCTCCAACGCTGTTCCCCGCGGCCCTTTATATAATCCACCCACTTCTGGAAGCTGTTGCAGGACACAGGTGCCCAAGCCCCCTGGGACCCTTCCTGCAGGAGATAAGTGGGCAGAATTAGGTTGCAAGAGCTATTTTTGCCGGTTTCCCCCTGTGTTTGCTTTTGAATCACTGTGCGGACAAGCTGCCCCAGGCATGCTCTGATTCCAAGGAGATAAATTGGGCCCCAGGTGGCCAGGAAGCCACTCCCAGGCTCTCAGCTGTTGACTCCAAATTTCCTCCTTGGCTGTTGCTTCCCGGCCTGTGGCCTTCCAGCCCTTCCCCTGGAAACCCACTGGCCCTCGGTTCACGCCAGCGAGACCGGAAAGTGTCCGTGCGGCATCCACAGCGGTTCTAGGCCGAGCCCTGAGGGGCTGGTGACAGCAAGTCCAGGACAGTCATCCCCCACCCCGGCGAGGTCCCCTCTTGGTCTCCAGGGGGCTTTCTCGCGGTTCCCACGTCCGCAGGGAAGAGGATGCTGCTTCATACGTAGAGCACGCCGCACCCCCGGCTCACGCCCAAGCCCCCGGCCACGCACTGCTCTCCGCAGTGAAGCCCGCCTTGTGTGGGGCTCGCCCCGGGCAGGGTGTTGTCCACAGGGCCTCACAGCGGGCGCTCGCCGCCGTCCCGGGGAGCAGCTGTCAGGACCCCGTTCCTCAGATAAGTCGCAGGAAGCTGGCTCACTTGCTCTAGGCACACAAGCAAAACCCGGTGGGGTGGGATTCGGACTCAGGCGGCCTGGCTCAGAGCTGTGCCCTCCCGTGGCGCCCACGGCCCCTCTGGACACACAGCTCTGGGTGCTCGGCCGTGTGCGGGGCTGGGACGTGGACCGGCGCTAACTGCCAGGCTTCTTGGAGGAGCCTCTCACTGGGCAGCAGCGTAGCCGACTGTCCAAGTTTGCCCAGGGCTGGCGGGCTGCCTGGGGCTTTCAGTGCTAAACCAGGGGAGTCCTGGGGAACCAGCTGGCTGGTCCCTGCACTGGTCATGCCCCTCCTTCCCCCAGATGCCCGGTCCTAGGTGGGCCTGGAGCGGGGAGGGAACCTGGAAAGGAGGTGGGGACATGAGCTTCCAGGGACACCTGGTTGAGACAGCGTCAGTAAAGTGCCTCTCGGGCTGGAGCCACGGACATGTGACCAGGGGCAGTGGGAAATCGGGGGACGGGGGGCCTTGAAAGGGCTGCAGATACAGGACGGAGGAGTCTGGCAGGTGTGAGGAGCCCTCGGTGCTGGGACAGTCTTTGGCAGAACCTTCTCCTGGCACTGCATCTCCCTCCTCTGGCCTGCCTGCCCCCAGCCCTCCATCACCTCCCTGCTCTTCGCCCGGACCCTGCCGGGGGTGCTGCGGGAGGAAGGGTGGGGTGAGGGGTCCCCAGGGATGGGGGCTGCTCATGCTGCGCCTCCCTGTGCCTCCCCAGATGACCGCCTACGGGGCCTTCCTGCACAAGGGCTCCTTCTGCCGGAACTACTTCAACATCCTCGACCTGCTGGTGGTCAGCGTGTCCCTCATCTCCTTCGGCATCCAGTGAGTGGGGCTCCTCAGCCCACGAGGGGGCGTGAACTAGGAGCAGGTGTCAGAGGAGGCGGCCGGGGGCCTGGGGGGCCTGCCTGCACGGCGGCAGGGTGACTGAGTACAACGGACGGGGCCTCCCGGGGGCTTTGGCTTCCGGTGTCCATGTCCTCCGTGGTGTGATGCTTGGCAGGGGTCTGACAGTGTCTCAGTCCTGCCTGGGTACCGTGGGAGCAGCATCTCCTCCGGCTCCCCGTGCCCAGGGCCCTGGCTGCCCTCAGCTCCGAGGACCTGTCATGGGCCTGGCCAGCCTGGGCTCCCCTCGCCGCCTGCCCCCGTCCCGTCTCCAGCCCCAGCACCTGCTGAGAGAGGGAAGGAGAGGGAATCGCTGGTTCTCAATCGGCTACACCGGGGACCTCCTGAGCAGCTTTGAAAAAAGCCGTTGGCCGGGATCCCTGCCCCAGAGTTGTGACACAGCTGGTCTGGGCGCAGCAGGGTCTTAGGGTCCTGAGGGCTCTCTGGGTGATGCCACCCACAGCCAAGGCTGTCAGCTTGCTCAGGCTCGAAAGGGTCTGATGACTAGTTTCTTCCGAATTCCAGCAGCTGCTAATGTGAACCCTCCACTTTAACGTGAAACGACTTTCTGTGCACTGCCTTCTCTGACCCGCACGGAACCACCAGGCTGGCAGGGCCGGCACTGTTAACCACCGTTTAGTCCCAGACAGGAAAACGGGGACTTGGCCCCGGTTGCACAGGGCTCCATCCCAAGGCTGCTTCCAGTGTTGGCCTGGAAGGAGCAGAGAGGGGGCGTTAGGAGTGAGACCCTTTCCTGTGATCACCGACTGTTTGGCCCCAAACTCCTCCTGGGAGCCTGCAGTCTGGATCCTAAGCCCAGCATTGCCACCCCATCACTTTTCTTTTATGCTTTATTTTTCACTGAAGTTGCTTTGCAATGTTGCGTTAGTTTCTGGTATGCAGCAGAGAGATTCAGTTTTATAGGCATAAGGCAGGGGAGGGATAAATTAAGCATTTGGGATTAGCAGATACAAACTATTACATACAAAACAGATGAACAACAAGGTCCTTCTGCACAGCACAGGGAGCTGCATTCACTGTCTTGCAATGTCCTGTAATGAAAGAGAATGTGAAAAACACACTAAACCTCTCCTAACCTGAACCAAGGACCCCCTCAGCCTGACCTTTGCCTCCCTCCCACTGTCCCTGAGATGCTGGGAGGGACCCAAAGGCCCCACGTCCTTTGCAATAAAGAGAGCCACAAACCAGAGGAATCGAGACCTCCCCCGGCCCCTCGCGCGCGCATCACGCTGACCTCGGGAGGAGTGAAGTCCGCTCTTGCTGGCACCCCTCGTGTTTTAGGGCCCAAGGAGGGGAAGGGCCCTCTGCAGGCTTGAGAGGATGTCTCTGTCAGATGGCTAGGGGGTGGGTGCAGCCTCCTTGCCCCTGGACGCCGGCAGCGGCCAGTGCTCCCTGCAGGGCAGGCGGAGCCCCGGCACCAGCCTGTGGGCCTGTCCTGTCGGAGGCACTGCTGCCAGTGTGGGTGTGCAGAGCGGGTTTGACGCGTGTGTGTGATGGGCAGCTGCCTGGGACTGTGTGTGGAGGTGAGCACCCCAGACCTTCCCTGCCTGGAGCCCCGCCATTTCTGTAGTGTTGCTTCAAGTCCGCGATGAGGAGGCCACCTGAATTCAGTTCACAACACACTGCTCGACCGGTCGTGTGCGTCTTCTCAGTTAATCCTGCCACCGACCTCATTGGCTGATAACTGTCCCATTTTACAGATGTGGATATTAGGGCTCAGCAAGACAGGACATGTGTCCTCAGCGGCCGGCTCGCCTCCCCCAGACCTCCTGGGGCTACACGTGCCCTCGAGGGGCACGTCAAACTCCTAGCACATGGGAAACGCCTTTCACGTGATTTGCTCACCAGCAAGGAAGTCCGGGGCCCCAGCCGGCTCCAGGTTCCGACGGGCGGGAGGCGGGAGTTGAAAATGGTCCCAGGGCTGCAAAGTCCCGAGCAGATGTCCCGTTTCCCCAGTCTGCCTGGGTTCCTGCCAGGACCCCTCACCACTCCCTCGCTCACTGCAGCAGACACAGGAGAGGCTCACACTGCCCACCCTCTCCCCAGGTCCAGCGCCATCAATGTGGTGAAGATCCTGCGGGTCCTCAGGGTGCTCAGGCCCCTCCGGGCCATCAACAGGGCCAAGGGGCTGAAGGTGAGCTGGGCGGGCAAGCGGTGAATGCGGCCGGGGCTGCGGGCCACTGGGAGCTGCCTGAGCAAGGGGTGGGTGGGAGGCAGGAATGTTCGGGACCCTCCTGCCTGCACCGTGGCCCCACGTCAGGTCCTGGCTCCGTGATGCACGGATCACCGGCAGAGGCAGCCGCCCACAGTCACAGCGAAGCCTCTGCCAGAGGGGACCCACACACACCCCAGGCCCCACGCGGTGACGCGGCCCCTGCACTCCTGCCCCCGGGACACGGGGAGTCGGCAGCTGGCAGTTGGCTCCCTCACCCTGTGGCCCTGGGAAGGCGCGTGGCCTCTGAGGGACCTCCCCGCTGGGGCAGAGGCTCGTGGCCAAGGGGCTCAGCCCGGCGAGGCCCCCTGAACCGTGGCTGTCCGCCCGCAGCACGTGGTGCAGTGCGTGTTCGTGGCCATCCGCACCATCGGGAACATCGTGATCGTCACCACGCTGCTTCAGTTCATGTTCGCCTGCATCGGGGTCCAGCTCTTCAAGGTAGGGCTCGCCGCCCCCCTGAGGCCCTTCCCTCCCGGAGCATCCCGGGAGCCGGGCACAGAGGGGACGCAGAGGGGACAGTGTGTAGCCCCTACCACGGCCGCCTCCCGGCTCCCAGACCGGAGAAGGACTGGTTCCCAGGCCAAAACCAGTTCTGACCAGAGAACTAGTTTCCAGACCAGAGGCCTGGTTCTCAGACAGGAGGAGGCCCAGCGTGGAGGCAGCCTCTGGTCCACGGAGACCCCGGCCCTCCCTGCTAGTGAGAAAAGGAGAGGGGTTTTCCTCCCCCAGAACCCCCGGGTCAGTCACCTGCCCAAACCCCCACCCGCCGCCCCGCGGCTCCCCGTGCCAGCAGCACCGAGCTGACCGCCCGCCACGCTCAGAGCCTGGTCCGCCCCGGTCCCGCCCCGCTCCTTTCCTTCCGCCCTCTCCCCTCCGGCTGCAGCACCCACCCCCACCCCCACCACGTAAGCCTGCCCTGATTTCTCCCCCAAATTCAGCCCCAAGCCCGGCCGCTCCCCCTCCCGCCACAGCCTTTTCTGGGGGTCCAGCCTCCGGGGTATTGAGCCCCCGTGGCCCCGGGGGTGTTTCTGACTGGCTGCTTTGTGGGTCCTGACTCCCCACCTGGGCGCTGCTCTCCCTTCACTTTTGTCCCGAGACCCCAGCACAGAGCCGGGCTGCAGGGACGATCACTGAGCAGTCCTGACCGACGCCTTGATCGCAGAGCATCTCCGTCACTTTGTGCCTCCTCCTTCCAGGGCAAGCTCTACACCTGTTCCGACAGCTCCAAGCAGACGGAGGCGGAGTGCAGGTGAGAGCGGCTGGGGACAGCCAGCGTGGACGTGGCTGACTCTGGGCGGTTGGTGGCTCGGCCTGAGGGGAGGGCTGGACGGCGCTGGCGGCTGGACTTCACCCGTGGGTTACGTGGTCCCACTGACAGAACACGTGAGGTCATGCCCGGACGTGCTGCCCTGACGCTCCTCCCGGTGGCCAGCACTGTGGGCTGAAGCTTAGCCAGTCCCACCCCACCCCCAAGCCAGAGTCACATTTGGGCCAGACGGGGGGCAGACGGGAGACCCCAGACTCATCCCTGCCTCCCTCTCTCAGGGGGAACTACATCACGTACAAGGACGGGGAGGTTGACCACCCCATCGTCCAGCCCCGCAGCTGGGAGAACAGCAAGTTTGACTTCGACAACGTTCTGGCCGCCATGATGGCCCTGTTCACTGTCTCCACCTTCGAGGGGTGGCCAGAGTGAGTATGCAGGTCACGGCCACGGCGCTGGCCTCCCCGCGGCCCCTCAGCGGTACTGACGCCCCACCGTCCCTCCCAGGAAACGCACTTCTCTGTGCCGCCCCAGGCAGTGTGTGGGCAGGTCACCACTGAAACACAACTTCTTTTTCTGGAAGATGTTAACTTTTTGGAACTTCAGCCAAAAAGGAGCTCCTTTTAGCTCCTCTTCCCAACCGAGGGTCAGCTGCCGTGATGGGGCGTCTGCCATCACCCTCGTGGCACCCGGCAGTGGGGGGTGAGGGCTTCTCCAGGTGTGGGCCCCTGGGTCACCACAGGACTCAAGGCCGCTGCTCCCAGTGTGCACTCAGGGGGTCAGGTGCTGTTGGACGCTGCGCCGTCTCCTCAGAGGGAGCCTAGTCCGTGTTTACGGTGGTGGGAAGTCCGAGAGGGAAGGAAGCCTGGGTCCCAGTTGCTGCAGAGGCAGTGCCGGCAGGCCTGGACCAGCCCGGGTGGCCTTTCCACTGCGTCACCTCCGCCTGGCTTGTCCATCGGGCTCCCGATGTCTCTGTACAGACACCTGCTTGCCCCACGGCCCCACGTCTCCCAGTGACACCATCGTCTCAAAGGCAGAAAATCCCAGGCATTCCTAAGCCAACGACGGCACGTGGCTCCTGGGCGGGAGGCACGGTTATTGAGGGGTGAAATGCCGAGACCGCCCGGAGAGCAGCCGACGCCGTGCAGGGCAGCAGGTGGGAGTGGGGGGTCCGTCCACTGGAGAAGCGAGCACCACGGGCCCGTGGCCCAGGCCCAGGCCCAGGCGCAGGGCGCGCGCGAGCCCCTGCCTGTAAACCGAGCCCTCGGGGATGAGCTGAGTGAGCCTGGGCCGTTTTCACCAAGGGTTTGTACCCAGATTGATATTTGCTCTCAGATTTATCTCACGTTCACGTAACGTCCTCCGAGTCTGCAGATTTGCAGAGCTGTTTCAGCATCTGCCAAAATTTCCAGTATCTGAAGCCAGGGCCGAAGCGACTCGTGTTGCATTTAGACGGTTCTTGACGGTTTCCAGACACCCTCGTGGACGTTGCACCAGCTGCCCTGCCGGGGGGCAGGTCTGGGAGTGCCTCCACCTTACCGACGGGGCTCTGAGGCTCAGGGAGGTGGGGTGGTGCGCCTGAGCCACACGGCCAGTACGTGGCAGAGCTGGGACGCGACCCGGGTCTCCTGCCCTCAGCCCAGAGCTGTGCCCAGCCCCCGCCCTCCGCGGGCCTGCCTCCCCCAGGCTGCTGTACCGCTCCATCGACTCCCACACGGAGGACAAGGGCCCCGTCTACAACCACCGCGTGGAGATCTCCGTCTTCTTCATCGTCTACATCATCATCATCGCCTTCTTCATGATGAACATCTTCGTGGGCTTCGTCATCGTCACCTTCCAGGAGCAGGGGGAGCAGGAGTACAGGAACTGCGAGCTGGACAAGAACCAGGTAGCCCCCGGGGGTCGAGGGGCCGCGGCCGGGCCCCGAGAGAGAGGACGGGGCTCGACGCCGGGGCAGAGGGACTGCAGCCCCGCCGGTCCCAGTGCCGCAGACGCCGCCGTGCTCGTCCGGCAGGCACTCAGGGAGGCTCCCGAGCCCGAGTCACACGTGGGAGCCCGCGAGTCAGGACAGGCCTGGGCGGGCGGGCACCTCGGGTGGGAGGGAGGAAGCCAGACTGAGGCCGGGAGGTTCGGCAGGTTTGGAAGCCACTGCTAGTGTCTTGAATGAGACACACAGGCCTGTGCACGAGGTGGGGCAGGAAAGGCTTCAGGAGGAAGCCAGCAGTGGGCCGACTTCTGCTCGGGGGGCGAGGACCGAGGCGCAGGGCCTGAGGCCTGCAGGCGCCAGGACCAGACCCCCCACCAGCTCCCGCCCGCCGAGGTCCGTGGGAAACAAGCTCTGCTTAGGGAGGAGCGGGCCCCTCGTGGGCTTTGTGTCAGCCCCTTGGCTTAGGCCCAGCCTCCTGGCCGCTGTGTGGACTGTGGACTATAATGAAGGCAGGGAGGAAGGAGGCCAGTTAGGAAGTGTGGACGAGAGGCAGTTAGACCCCGATCCACTACCGGGTTGACAGGTGTGGAAACGGAGTGGGCAGGAGGAGGTAGAGTCGGTCAGGGTTAGAGACCCGGCGCGGAGGCCGAGCGCAAGGCAGGAGCCGGAGCGACGCCAGCTCCTGGCCTGGGAATCTGGGCCCCACGGGAGAAAGGAGGCGGGATGGGCTTAGCGCAGATCCCACCCCCCGCCACCCCGAGAGCTCTGTCTCCTCGTCTGTGGGCGCTGGTGAGTGGGGAAGGCCAGCTTAGGACAGAGAGGAAAGCTGAGGACAGAGGTGCCGCTGGAAGTAATCCGTGAGAAGGCCGACCAGCAGTCAGTCAGCAAGCACGTGTCAAATGCCGCCGCGAGTCCTCAGTGCGGCGGGCGTCACCAAGTCAGAGAAAGGGAGACGCAGACCCCTTGACTGCACCTTGAGAGGGAGGCTGACCGGAGACAGCCTCTCCTGGGTCACGGGGTGACAGAAAAGCCAAAAGAAGCCCATGCAACACCTCAGCCCTGTAGGGGAGCTGAAGCCGTAGGCGACTCCTCCGACCCGCAGAGACCCCCGCATGTGCAGCACCTCCTACGTGCACCTCCCCTCCCCGCCCCTCCCCCCACCACCCAGGCCCCTAACCGCCCTCTCCCCCCAGCGGCAGTGCGTGGAGTATGCGCTGAAGGCCCGGCCCCTGCGGAGGTACATCCCCAAGAACCAGCACCAGTACAAGGTGTGGTACGTGGTCAACTCCACCTACTTCGAGTACCTGATGTTCGTCCTCATCCTGCTCAACACCATCTGCCTGGCCATGCAGGTCAGTCCCGGCGGGAGGCGGAGGGCAGAGGCGCACCTGCGGGCCGGACCGTCTCAGGGAGGCTGGGAGACCCCGTGAAGCTGTCCCCCGAGCAGAGCGGGAGCGCGGCCCTCCGCTCGCCTGCGATTTCGGGGACGGTCGAGGAGGGACGGCAGGCGGGTTCCCCGTGTCCGCCTGACCGCCCGGGGGTGTGGACGGCCTCCAGGCCTGGTTGGGGGCCGGTCTGTGGGAGGGGGGCGAAGAGCAGGGCGGCCCTGCCCACCGCTCCGTCCCCCCTCCCCCAGCACTACGGGCAGAGCTGCCTGTTCAAAATCGCCATGAATGTCCTGAACATGCTCTTCACCGGCCTCTTCACGGTGGAGATGCTGCTCAAGCTCATCGCCTTCAAGCCCAAGGTAGGCCCGGGTCCGGCCTCAGGCCGCCGCACAGCCAGTCAGGGGAGGTGGGGCCGCGGGGCGGGTCATCTTCCCGGGCGACAGACGTCCGGCTCCTCGCCCTGTGGGAGGTGAACCAGGCCGACTCCTTGAAGTCGACTCTCAGCTCGTGGTCCGAACCACGGCTGGTACAAGGGAACAGTTCCCGCCTGAGCAAAGCTGCCTCCCAGGGAGGTTCAGTGCCCCCCCCACTCTCACCCTGTCCCTGTTGCGGCCCCGCATACCATCTAGAAGGAGCTGGAAACCAAACCTCTCAGGCCCAGCCCCCAGACCCCCAGGCCGCACAGACTGGTGGTCTTGCTGTAAAGGCTCAGCCAGGGCGCGTCTGCTCCAGGCTGGGTGCTCCTGCCGCTGGAGGCCTCCGGGCCACCCTCAGGGCCCATCGTGGCCCCTCGCACCTTCCAGTGCAGGGCAGACCCGCACGCGTCTGTTTGCTCCTTGTCAGCAGTTCTAGGAAGAGTTTGGGAGAAGGTGAGAGCCGCTGGCTGAGTGAGGCCGGGAGGCAGCTGATTCCCGGTCACTTGGATTATCTGTGCCCCCCACCCCGGCCCTGCTTCCCGATGACGGGAGAGGAACTGTGTGAGCAGCACTGTCCATCTTGGCCCCTGAAGATGGTGGGAGCCACGGCCCCTGCTGGGCACTGGGCACTGGGCAGCTGCCCTGAGGGAGGCAGTCACACGGCGCTGCAGCCGCTGCAGCTTCAAGGCGACGAGGACA